GGCCGAGGGGAACGGGAGTTCCCCTCAGGCACTGCGCGGAGCGGCGGCGTCGGACGGGGCCCCGGGGCGGGGGTCGGCGGTCGGAAGGCGCTGAAAGCAGCGGTGGCTGGGGCGGCGCGCAGCTCCAGCGCCGGAATTCCGCAGCACGGCCCCAGGAACGGGGCCTTGGCCCCGCAGCCACGCTTGGAGCGCACCCGCGGTGATTTAACTTTCTCATGATGGCCCCAGCGGAATGTGGGTCTGCCCGCACAGCGCTGTCAGAGGCAGGTTCCTTGCCAGAGCGTACACTTCAGAATCCCAGTTCTGAGCACGTCGTGCTTGCACACCCCACACGAGAAACTTGGAAACCAGCCTACTGATCTCTGGCAGAGTTGTGCGTCCAGATAAAGACGGCAAAACGGAGGCAGGAAGGCACATAAGAGTATTACTCACTTCCCCAGAGGCGGCTCAGCCACAAGTTGAGCAGCGCCTGCTGCCCTGAGCCTGGCCGAATACTTCCAGCATATCTCCAGTACTTCAAAAACACTTGAACCTGAGCAGTGGAGCAAGCACAGACAATTCCAGTGTTAGTTCAGGTGTCAACAAATGCTCACGTGCTGGTGTATAAGTATGTGAAACATACAACTGGTATTTGGTGATACAAGGAAAAAACATCTTTTCAAGTATTCCATGCAATAAGGCTTCATTAAAAGCTGGAGCACTTCACAGATTTCTCTGAAATAGCAACAAATACAAGGCAGATGTACACTATGAAATAGACCAGCTAGTTTTTAATGCAAAAATTTGATAAAAGGTAATTTTTACTCTGACTTCCCTCATCTTTTAAAAAAATGAAACTTCCTGAAAAAAAAAAAGTTAAAAAACTAACTTTTTTAGGGCAAACCTAAAAATAAATATATTTTTAAACATATCCTTTTTACAAATATATTTTCTTTTTTCAGTTTAAAAGTTAATAGCTTTTTTAATAATACAGCTGGGCAGTGAAAGTAATATTCTCAAAAACAAGCCTGGGGAGCATTTTTCCACATATCAAATTTTTCCAGTTTTGGAGGATTTGCACCAAAGCATGTTGTTTTCAGATGTTTACAGAAGGTGTTTCAGTGTTACATTTATAGTACAGATGTGTCCAGAATATTACCTAAATTTCATAAATGCATTTGTTCTCTGGAATTAATGAAAACTGTGAAAAATCACAGAATCATTAGGGTTGGAAGGGACCTCTGGAGATTGTCCAGTCCAACTCCCCTGCCTAGAGCAGGTGATACAGGAATATGTCCTGGTGGGTTTGGAATTATCCAAAGAGGGAGATCCACAACCTTTCTGGGAAGCCTGTTCCAGTGCTCTGCCACCCTCAATGTAAAGAAATTCTTCATGTTGAGGTAGAACTTCTTGTATTTCATTATAATTCTCAGCCAGTCAGTTTGACTAACTGTAGATGGCAAACTCCTGCTTTCAGACCCATTTTTAGAGGAAAACTTTTATATGCACTTAACTTTTTCCTCCATAAAATAGAAGCGAAAACAATAAAAATACTAGGATTAATGCAGTGAGCAGATTTGCACCCTTACTTAAAATCATAGCTGACCCTGACTTAAAATGACAGAGTTGCAGTTATTTGATCCTTTGAAATTTTACATAGAAAGCAGGAAGCACAGAATCTGACACACACATTTGTTGCAAATATAGCTCCGTTATTAGCCCTAATATCAAAGCCGAAAGTAGCATGCCCAGGAAAACCCTGAGATTAGCTCAGTTTGGTACAGTGTCATGTTAATGAGACCTAAGTCTTGGGCTTAATCCCTACATGAGCTAGAGTTGGACTCAATGATCCTTATGGGGTCCCTTCCAATTCAGAATGTTCTGTAATTGTGTGAAAAGATCCATGAAACCAGTGAGGGTTTTTCTTTTTAATTGTGTAAAACATTGATTGAAAAAAATACCTTTGCTAAGAGCATTTGCATGTACTTACCTGGTGATTTTACATGAGGAGCTTCTCTGTACATGCCTGGAAGTTTGACAGCTTCTCACCATAATGAAAGTTGTGTTGAATCCTAAATTTTCCTGGTATTTGAAAACCCTCTTTTGCTTCTGTTGCAGTTATAACCATTGTAGAACCACACTGAAGCCACAGCTGGACTTCAATGCCTTCCATCACACCCGTGGTAAAACCAGTGATTAATAAAGACAAGACCAACAAAATAGCACAGCTAAAGCAGCGAAGAATAAATTTAATTTGACAAATAGGCTGAGACTAGTTTTTGCTTTGGAGCTACTTGTATACAGCTAAACAATCATATCCTAAACAACAAACAAAAATCTAGGAAATTCAGCAGGAATCTTCAGTTTCTATGTTGCCTCACTTTCCAGAGTGTATACTCATTGGAAATTTAGGCTTGTCTGCACAATTCACTGTACTTGAGCTATGAAATGCACCAGCTACAGTCCTAGAGGGATGGATCACTCTGGTCATACAGCAAATGTCATCACTTGTAATAACAAAACAAGCCCCTTGTCCTGTGTCTGCCACAGTAGACTTCTAAAATTAATGAGCCACTCCTCAGATTTCTCAATAGTGTGCTTTTCAAGCCATTCCCTGCCCTTAGCTTGGTTGGTAAGGCTGCCAAGTTATTAATAAATCTCTATATTATAAAGACATTTAATTTCAGGAAAGGATTGCTGTCTGCATTTTATTCAATGTAGTACACAGCTGGCTGATGGCCTATTTGCCCTGCGAGATCCTTGGTAAAATAAAGTTATTTGGGGAAATACCTGTTAAATTAAAAGTTTGTGCAGTTTCTTCATTCTATCAGTCAAATTCTGTCTTAAAAGCCAGGTTGCATTATAAAATTCAAGGCCTGTGTCTATTAAGAGAAAAATGCAAGTCAGAAATTAATGAAAAGGAGATGAATCACATATATGAAACTTTATTCAGAAAAAATACTTTGCATATATGATTGTCTCAGTCTTTAATACGCAGATTTGAGAGTCCTTCCATTCTAGAAAAAGTAGCTTACCATCTAAAATTACCATATGATTTCAGCAAAGAAACTTTACTAACTTAACTAGCCGTAATATTCTCTTTTAATATTCTTTCCAGTTACATCCCTTGTGCATATTCAAACTTTTGAAATCTAGGCAGGGTAGCACTTCTTAATATCAAGGTTAATCCCCCTTATATTTGAACTATTTCTAAAGTTCTAACTTTGACCCTGCTAACTCTTCAAACTCTTCCACTTCTAACTAAATCAGGAAAACAAAAGGAGCAAACAAAGCATTTGTAAATTCAGTATGATTCACAGCACCAGAGGCAATGGGCACAAACTGAAACACTGAACATCAGGAAACACTTCTTCACTGTGAGTGACCAGGCACTGGCATCAGTTGCCCAGGGAGGTTATAGAGTCTCCATCCTCCAAGACATTTCAAAACCTGTCTGGACATGGACCCGAGTGACTAGCTCTAGGTGGCCCTACTGGAACAGACAGATTCTATGATACAGTTCTTCACCTTGGATCTTTACAAATCCAGTTCTATCCTTGAATTGATGCTTCTTTCTCCCCCCTGCCCCCTTCCAAATCAAAAACCCAAAGTAACTAAATTTTAACTAATTTTTAATTCTATTTCTGCAAGATAGAAGAAGAGTCTGATCCTACAGACTTGACATGATGCATTTCAAGGCTTTTGAGGTTGAAATCACCTGCATTCTGCTAAATATTTTCCCAGATAGTTGCAGGCAGAGAACAAGCCTGGCAATAAGGAAGAATGAGGCTCTCCCAGGAATTCTTTTGCTGTTGAATTCTATGTATAGACTAAAGGTGTTAAATTCTTCTCTCACTTTTGTTTAATGTCTGTGCTACAGCAACACTGCCAGTGAAAGAAAGGGTATCTAACTGCTCATTTCTGTAAAGTATTTGTGTTTAAAGTCTTTCTTACCAATATCAATTACTGGTTTTGCCTCTTCCTCATCAACATAATCCCCCAAATACACAGGTACATTCACCCCCAAACAAACACTCCTGGGCTGACTTTCTTAAAAAGAGGCACAAGCAGAAGGTAGTTTAGTTCACATTCTGTTAATCTTTAGTTTTTTTCTAACTTAAGTGAGAAGATTTTAACAATTGTTTACCTGCTGAGGGTTCAGAGCAATCACTGTAGAATTCAATGTATTTGCAGTATGCTGTAGGCTAATGTACAAGTATTGAAAGAGGACTGGAGGAGGACAGCACTCTATTTTTGCACACTCAGAAGGCAGTGAAGTCACTTCCACATGTATTGTGGAAATACCAACTGAAAGCCATCCCAAACTATTGTCACTCAGAAAACAGGTCCAGCCTTGCAACAAAGAACTACAAATGCCACATACTTACTGGCAAAAAAGCAGCGCTACGTTATTCAGAACCTATACCTTCAGTACAAATGAGAATATGAGGAAACCCTAATGCAGGCCTGCAAGTCAGAAGTGGCATGGGGAAAACTAGAGAATAACTGCTCGCTCATTCTTCCAGCAGAAGAACTAGGAAACAGTAAATCAAACAGGCAAATAGCCAAGCAAAAAACACTACTTTTACACACATGCAGCTAAGGCTGGGGGAATGCATTGGCACATGAAGCTGTAGGTATTTCCATAAACCCCCAAAATAACTAATTAATGCAAGAAACACCCATCTAAAATTGCTAAATGCAGAGCTAGAGATATCACCCCAATTTAAATTTTGCAAAAGAAATTAGTGGAGGAATTGCAGAAACTGGGAGAGCTTACCAGAATGTTCTATCGTATCTATGCTTGTCCTCTCTTTGTATTTTTCCATTAGCCAATATCCGCTACTGGAAACTGAATCTTGGTCTCTGCTCTTCAGTCTAACAATTGAAATACCTTGTCATTGCAGCAAGCAGAACATGCAAACTGTAATCTGTTCTTTTCTTCCCAAATCCTTTCCACTTCCTGGAAAAGTATACATGCAAATGTTCCTTCAGATTCCCTCTAATCACATATTCCTCTTTCCACTATAGACCTATAAATCACAAGTTTCCTATACAAATAGCTCACAAGTTTATCAAGGGTGAGGAGACTATGGGAAAAGGCTTCCCAATCTGACCAGAAAATATTGCTTAACTATTGCTCTGGGTACGAGGGCAAGAGTTAAGATAAAACTGCTGCCTTTTCCATTCCTGTTATCCTAAACATCTGATGCTTTAAAGCTCTTAGAGGAGCGCTACCATTAGGTCAGTGCCTGGCAAAGCTCCATGGAAAGAGGAGACAAGATATTCAGCAAAGAAGTGACAGGAGAGTTACCACATATACTGCCCTATTTTCCTCAAGTTAGCATGGAAAGGTTGGAGAAAGAACTTTCCTCCATATCCTAGTGCATTCTGCCATATGAGAAGGAGTCATGCAGGAGAACTGCAGAGAACATTCCTTACCAAAATCCATCTTCAAAACATCTCCGAGTCATCTCAGGACAGTAGTGCTGTCCTGTCCACTTGCGCAGTGCGAGGTAGCCAAGTGCTGAAGCTGCAACTCACTGAATACAGCCACAGATGAAACTGTCAATAGAGAACTTAATGCTGTATTTAGAGCCTTTCCTTTGCCCCAGACACACATCCAGCCTGGCCCTTACATCCTGTAGTGCCTAGCAGCCATAAGGATTCCAGTACTTGGCATCCTTGTAAAAGGTGCTGAAGGAAAGAGACCTTTGGGGTCTACTTAACCCCACATAAGTTACTTACTGCATTAAGCCCATCTCCGAAGGCAGACAGCATGTCACTGGGTCACAAAATATTCTCCTCCAGCTCTGGGCATCTTTCCCAGGAGAGGAGAGCACAGCACACCACAGACACAATGGCCACAGCCATACAGCAGATGGGGCAGGCCATGGGCTGTTCTCCAGCTGTAAGGCAAATACAGAGAGCGCAGCTTGCATTCCCACAGCTAAGCTCTCACCCACCTTAATTTCTAAACCATGCCCAAATATTAAACTGCTGCCCAGGCTTTAGCTGTCAGCCTGCATTAACCCTTTATGGCATGGATGATCTGTTGCCAGAAATTGGGCTTATGTCCCAGGCCTTTTTAGTTGGCTGGTACTTACATGGCTGATTACTCAGGAGAGTGTCTGATGCAGCAGTTGCAATACACAGCTTTCAGATCAAGTGTTCCAGACTATTTAACATGTAACCAAAGAACCTAAAAATCCTTTCAAGGCTGGGTGGGCCCAAATAACCTTGTGTCTTTAAGGTCCTTGTAAGAATAGAACAATCTCACACACACACATTTATGACCCTTACCAGGTGTACAGCACCTACTAACTAACTACCAAAATGCAGCATTTCTGCAGATCCCAAGAGCAGACAATACAAGCTTTTGCATAGAAATTATTTTTTATTTTATTTTTTAAAGACACCTGGAGAATTCTACCCTATGGGAATTCTCATTTACAGCACAAACATAAAGCCAGTGCACAGAGATGAAGAACTCTGACTATATCAGTACCTCAGACTGTGCTTGGGCTTTTCAATAATCTTCTTTTGGAGGATCTGCTCTCTACTTCTACACGGGCCTTGAGTGATACTAGAATTAGATCTTAACCTAAAATAGAGTTTTAGGATATAAGTTTTCCCTTTTCAGCTTGTGCAGCATTAACCAGGAATCTCTTCATTGTTTTGCACAGAGCAGTGCAGTGCAGGCAACAACCTGTGCTCAAATCTGAACAAATTTGTAATTTAATATGGTACAACTAATGTAGCTGTATTGTGCTGCTGGAAGCAGAAGTTTAGATCTTTAGAGAAGCAAAGCTTTAATTTTACATGGCAACTGGAAACTAGAAAAAATAAATTGCTATTCTGTGATCTGAAGGGGACATTAATATTAATCTTTTAATCTGCTTTTTTTGTAATTTTCATATTTAGCTTTGATCCAGTAAAAACATAAAAGGTTGTTTTTTCTTTTTTAAAGTTTAGATCTTAAAATAGAAGTAAGAACATTTACAGGGAAGTTTCATTTTGAAAACTTAAATCTATTAGAGTCAATTAAAAAAATAATTTTCAGTTTATGACTAGGTAAATACCTGGCTGATAAATCTGTGAACTTCTTTATTGACACCACATTTAAATTAACCAAAACACTTCTAAATAGCTCTTGTATTTTCCAGCTGAAGTTATGTACCAATGGAGAGCAATGTTTGGGGGCACATACTGAGCAGTAAGAGGAGTCAAATCAACTGTGTGAGATTATGTATTTTTACTGCCAATACATCAATTCTTAGTTACAGCAAAATCATTAAAGATAGCGAGTGAGCATGTCCATAAAAAATAGTTAAAATCACTGCTGACAGTTAACTGCAGAAGTTTCTAAATTTTTTCATACCCTTCCAGGTCAGATGTTTTTAGATTTTATTGCCACATCCACAGCAATACCTTATGTGTCTCACAAGAAAAATTATAAAATAATTCTTACCCAAGAGATGATCTTATATACACTAAAAGGCACAGGTTTGTAATTTAGACAATTTTTATTTTAATCCCTTTAAACAACTATTAAAAGACCAGTCCTGGTTAGTAAATTTTATGCATGAGAACTGTTAAGAAATTTCAGATCAACAGTATTGATACAGACCTGCTACAGCCAAAAGAGGCAGCGAGGAAAGTGCAGAAGAATTTTTTTAGTCTGAAAATATTTCCAAACTCCTTCAGTCTCAGCTCACAATGGAAAAAAATTAGAACCAGAATTAAGAAGGGCAGGCTATTAAAGTTCAAACTTTTGTAAGCTATGCAGAAAAAACCCCAGCAT